GGTGATGGAGAATACAAAAGAGTAATTTGGAGCTACTGTTTAGGAATTTGTCTATTCAAAAGTGTCATGTTATGTTAATCAATTGCTTAATATAGCTATTATTTGTTGACTTAAATTTGGAATTAGTTATTTGGATGCTCCCCTAGATATCTCACATAAGACTATAGTGAAAACATTGAAAGGAATATTGGTCAATTATTGAAATGAAAAAAAAGATTTAAAATAAACTGTGATGGGATGTTAATCTCTTCCTTTTGTAGCTTAAAAAAAAAAATGAGTCCCTCTCAAACTGCAAAAATCTACTCACATTGTATCAGAAGAGGATGTGGAACAAGGGATATCATAGCTGATATATCAGATGAATTTGGGCTCAAAGCAGAAAATACCCAAAAGATGGTTGCTTGTGTTTTATTTCCCCAACTCAGGCATTTGACTGTGTGGGCCATAACAAACGATGGACAGCCTTCAGCAGAATAGGAATCCCAGAACACTCCAGGTGCGCATGCGGGGATAGGACGTGGATCTCCAGAAGCAATTGTGCTTGGAGAACAAAGGAATGCTGCCTTGTTTAAAATCAGAAAAGGTGCCAGTCCAGGTTGCCTCCTCTCACCAGATTTATTCAATCCCTCAGACCTAAATAGTGGTTTCAGTGGCTGGAAAAAAAAAAAAAGTAGGATTGGGTGGAGGGGGGGGAAGTAAAATTGAAATGATCTTTAGTGACAATTTCATCTCAGAAATAAATAAATAGGTAAACAAATAAACAACTGAAGACAAGGATAAATAACAACAAAAAATCTGTCTACTCTTTTGATTGTGTGATTGTGTGTATGCATGCGATGATGCCTGGGAAAGGGGGAGCCAGCAGGGTGACATGCCAGGGAAGAAGGCAGTAAAGAAGGAGGAAGAAATGCAGCTTGGGTAAGGAGAATGTCTGCCCCACAATGGCCACGCCTCTGCTATCAACACAGGGTGCCCAGAGACCAGCGAGGGCAGAGGTTTGGTTGGCTTGGTTGGCTCAGGAACCAGGAAACACCAACTATGCCAAGAGAGCAGCTAGGCTCCCAGAAGAGGCTTGCCCACCGGTCAACTGTAAAGTGGAATTATCAGCAGGTGGTGTTGCTCTCCAACTTGAGAAACTTGGATCTCCTTAGCTTTGACGTTGCTTTTCTCCCTGTGGGCAAGTGCAGGATATCGCTGCTAGTGGAACGTCCCGTAATTGGTGTGGAACTCTCCCTGTGCTTGTGATCGGGTGGCCATGTTCCCCATCTCCTAGTTGATTTTTAACCAAATCACTCTTATAATCCTGGTATATGGCTATGGCTTTTCCATATGTTGCTAAAGTTAAGTAGCTACAATTTTGTGAACTTTATTTTGTGTTGATGCCAAAACAGGGTAATTCTCTGGAATTTCCTCTTTGTTTGTGTGATGGCTTTGTCATGTTTAGGTATCAGGATTTTGCTGACAGCAGAGGAAGTGTTTGGTTCCAGTCCTTTCCTTTTGTGTTTTTTCAGAGCTTGATTAAGAATGGTGACAACTCTTCTCTGAATATTTGGTAGGATTTGTAGTAGCCATCTAGTCCTGGCTTTTATTTGGTTAACAAAGTTTGATGACATCTTTAATTTCCTTTTTTTAAAAATCATTTTATTGGGGGCTCGTACAATTCTTATCACAATCCATCCATCCATCCATTGTGTCAAGCACATTTATACATTTGTTGCCATCATCATTCTCAAAACATTTGCTTTCTACTTGAGCCCTTGATAATAACAGCTCTTCATTTTCACCCCTCTGACCCTGCTCCCCCTCCCTCATGAACCCTTGATAGTTTATAAATTATTATTTTGCCATGTCTTACACTGTCTGACAT